TATATAATTATGATAGGGATAAGCTCTAAATCGTCTTGCGGTAATGCTGTAAATATATGTAATTTTATTTTAACGTTAAAGAAGAGGAATCTGCGAGTGTGAATAAAATAGGTGCCCCCAACCTGGATTTGAACCCGGGAACTTTTGATATCTATGCAGACGCCTTTACCAACTAGACCCTTATTTATATAAGCCCTATATATGAATGTACATAGAATCTAGGTCATTATTGGAGTGATGTCTTTACCCAGGTTGCATAGTTCGACTAGATAGGGGCAAATGTAGTTGCTATTTATACATAAGAAACAGGCCTTATATAATTCTTATATAAAAATAGGAATGAAATGTAAATGCGCACTACAAATTGAATTATAAACGTCAGTCTTTGTTGATTATGATCAACAAAGACGTTCCGAAGCTGTTTGCTAAGTGAACACCTTTCCATGACAGTTCTCTGAATGAAAGTTTTAAAAAATCACACATTTTGTACAGGAAATGCATAAAAGATGACAGGTAAGTTTAGTTGTCACTTTATGGCGTGTATATTTACCCAGTTATACGCACATCTCAATGACAGTTGACATCATAATACGGTTGTCTCAGACATCACAAATGCATCTAGAAAATGCTTCGATCATCTCAAGATACTTCAGTAGAGTACCGGTATATAATTGTGAACATAACTACATCAACCTGATTTTGTGTCATAATTATGAAACGATAACCGATATCGGTATTAGTATTTAATATTTTTTTGTCGTAATTTCCGTCGTTCTAGGCCATTAAACCATTTCAAACCGTGGTGAGTGGAGATGTCGGTCTTGAAAGGAGTTCTGCTTATTTTGCAGTTTGGACCAGGGAACAGTGAAATTTCACTGTTCCCTGGTCCAATATACCGGATTAAATATAGGCTTTGCCTATAACGAAGATACGATCTGTTGTGTTGTTTTTGGAAATGATGAAAATTTAGTTTGCAAGAGCCAATATATTCATTTCAAAATTATATTACTCAAGAAATGAAAATTACCAATTGATATACAAGTTATATTTTATGCAATTCTTCAAAAAACTTTGTTAAACTAAGGAAGATACTTCATTTCCTTCAAAATCGAGCTGCCTAATTTATAACGGGGCAACACGGTTGATTGATGGATAAATTGGAAAGAAAATCTCAAGAAAAAAAAAAATGTAATTACAATGAAGTAGTCATCATGTATGTCAGATATCACTCCGTCCTATTTAGTAAGCATTTTTACCAAAAAAATAAAAAAAAAAATACAGTTTTGGAACAAATGAAAATCTCTATGTTTAATTCAAATTAATTATGGTTATAATTTATTTGTAATAAATACATGGAGATTGAAAAGAGACAGTTGACGCTAATTAAATTTTTGCTCCTGATCCCATACATAAATATTATTTGCTAACAAATTTGTTGGTTATCATAGTGCCTTAATGCCGTAGGGCATAAAATCTTACAAATTATATATGTATGTTATCACAAGAACTAGTTCGTAATTAATCAAGAAAGAAAACGATACAAAATTACATTGTAAGCCATAGGCCAAAATTCGATTAAGAAAGAAAAAAGAAAAACATTATTACGGTATCATATCAGGAATGATTTGCATGAAGGAACACGAAGTGCATCCGTATCAATGTAATTTAATTGAAAAAAAAATGCAGTTACCCTAAACCAATCACGTATCATGCGTATTCAGGGCGTATGTATAAGACGAGAATGATATAACGACTTCCTATTAGTAATGGATTTAAAGAAAAAATCAGCAAGTGTGTTCAAT